TTTAGCTCCGTTAATGTGGCTGCAGTCGCAAGCTTAAGTTATTGCTGATTTATGTGAAGCTTTTTGTTCAGAGGGAGGATGGAGGATGGTAAAAGCAAGGAGGGGCTGGATTGATTAATGAACATTAGAAGGCATTTCAAAGCCAACTAGGGCAACAATCCGTCAAACCTAATCTGTCCCACGTACATTGCGAACAAGCTCCTTATCTAGTTGGATTTGTTACGTCTGCTCCACAAGCTTAAACCATAGTAACAAGTTTCAACTGCACATTTTCCCCCGTTAGCTTGAGCCTAAATGTGCTTCTCTTTCCTCATGGTCCAGTTATGTACGCAAACGGCTTATTGCCAGTGAATGCCTTTCCTTAAATGAACTACAAATGTTCTCTCATGGATTGACAAGTGAGCACTAACAGATTGCAGACAATGAGGTTAGTTTCCACCACAACAGAATTTGCTGATGTTGCCTTTGAGTTCATAGACAGCAAGACTTATTCTGACGTTTGATAGAGACTTAATAAGATCAAATGTTCCTCCAGTGGGCATGGTTTGTATGCTTGCTGGCTCATTGTATGTATATTGCCTATAGTAGAAAACCCCATTTGCATTATTTCCCTTTGCCTCCTTGGCACCGTGTCTTAGACTTATGTTTGTTCTGCCAGTTCATAGTCTGAGCAGAGCCAGTGTTTTCTTGGCTCCTCAAAGTGTCACCATGTAGTCTAATCTCAACACACACAAGGAGCCAGAGCTGACTGGAAGCGGTCCGACACGAGCCAAAACCAAGAGTCAGTGACAGGCGCGGTTGATAGCCTCAAAGAGACATGGAATGATTGTTGTGGAAATGAATGGGAAAATGCACTAAAAAGGTGAGGATGTATCGTTCCTGGAGGACATCCAGACTTTTATTATGTCAGGCTCAAGACTCAAGGGCAAAGAACTTGCCCAAAGCTGTGTGTGCTAGCTTAAACGGCCACAATAAGCTCTCATTTCTACAGTGCAGTGATGAGCCCCCCTCTGAAACTGTTAAACCAACACCTTTTTGCTGTAAAGGAGGCCAGAGATATCATGTTGTTTTTGTTCCACCCACTTTTCCTCCTTGTCAAAACCTGAGGCCTACATTACCCAAAATGCAACCTGACCGCTAACGGCTGAGCTTTCCTCAAATAAGACGGGGAGCTGGTTGACTCGCCTCTTGCACGCAAAACATTTCTTCGCCATTTTCAAACATGTGGTTTTCAGTCTTTTATCATTGCAGCCTTGAGTGACATCATTTGAGTCAATGTATCAGGATTTGCTAGGTCCTCTATGCCGCAAAAATATATATTTTTTACCATATTTAAGTTGTTGGGATGAGTTATGCTAGTAGCAGCTAATGTTGCATAGAGCTGATAACCTCAAGCAGTGATGGGGAGCTGAATGAAAATGTGTGATTTTTTTTTCCATTTCTTTCTTGCAGTCTTCAGTCCCAATAGATGCTGACAACAAATGACATACCTTGAGGCAGTTTATGAGACTCTACACATCCTCTTATGGAGACTAATATACAATATACTAGACCGGTAGATAGACCTATCGATAAATGTAAATCAGTTGAGCTCCCCTGTATGCCCAGAGAAAATGTGGACACACTCTCACAAACGCACAACTTATACACATGTACTAACGATAACGCACAAGCTCTGAATCATCTGTCATCCACCAACCACGTGCAACCAGAAAACAACTTGTTCTATTCCATTCAACTTTTGTTCTATGAGCAGCACAGCGGCATGCAGCAGCTACCTGCCTGCTGTCAGAGAGAATATCTGCCAACTGGCTCTCCGCTGACTTGGTTAGATAAGGCTTAGTCACCAAGAAGCAGTGTCCAAAACAGTCAGAAATAATAGTGTGATGTGAAGTGTTTATCCTCGAGCAGATCAACACTGGTAGAGACAGAGTACACATAATCAAGACAACTTTACACCATAAACTTTTTTTGTTTGAGTTCTGGTATACACTTTGCTGATACCAAAGTTCCTCAAGTGCTGTTAGCAGTTCAGCAAAAGAGTAATTTCCCCACTTGAAATCTCACCCAGTATGATTAAATACTTGATGCCAAAAGCTATGTTAGTTTGGATGCATCACTATAAACAACCCAGCTTACGCTTAGAAAAAAAAGACCCATTCCATTAAGGCTACAGCAGCTTGTATCCTCTCCTTTATGAATACAGTTTTTAGAAACACAACAACGTCTTTTTACCATTCAGTCTTTTTTTAAAATCTATTGCACATGAGGGAGTGGACATGATTACAGTTTAATCAAATGGAATTCATCAAACATTCATTTTTCTCGAGGCATTAATGTCATCAGTTTCAGTCAAGTCAGCAAAGTAGTCAGTCAGGATTCGTACACAAACGTTATTACTCATCCCAATTTGATTGTGTTGTTGTAATGTGCACTGCATTTCCCAGCTGTAACCAATCAGGGCTTTTTTTTTCCCTCCAAATTCTTGTAGTTTGCAATCATGACTTGATGATCACTCAGCAGTCATCTTTTTTGATTTAAGTGAGGTTCTCTTTGTTGATGTTGTTGAAATACAGCATTTAAAGACTGTACACTCTCTGGAAGACTCTAACATAGTTGTTGATTCATTTAAAATGTGTGTTGAGTTAAGTTATTAGTCCCAACATATGTTTTCATATTTTCACTGACTTCGTGTATGGCCCAATGGAAGGAGCCTCAAAACATTTCTGGAGGAAACACTGTGATTTAATGCAACGTTATCGCTAACAGCGGCCATTCTTTCCACAAATAAATACTTTTCTTTCTTACTTGTTTCAATACCTGAATGCCTTCAGCTTTTAAAACCTATACTCTTTCACTTTTACTTGTAATAGAGTATTTTTTTTGTACCACTTCTTCCACTTAAGTTAAAGATTGAGGTACTTCTTCCTGTCTGGAGGAGAAGGAGGGCAGATTGATGTCAAGATAAAACTACCACATGACTTAAATCCTCAGGCAAACATATGGAAACACTCCAGCCATTGTGTGAGATTGAGCATGCAGCACACATGAAAGCAGATTAACGTCACACTGTACACTATATGTCCTTATGAAGATGTCCCTGTGTGTAAGGGTTTGTTTGGATCTCTGCAGTACAATAAATTACACAGACTCCTGAGCAGCAGCTTCTTACTCGAGTGTCTTTCATATCTCTCAGTAAAGTGTAGAGTCTATTTCCCCCATGCGGGAGCACTCTGATTGATTGTCTGTTAAACTGCGAGTGTCTGAGAGAGAGTCTGCCAGGAAGCCTTACAGCAGGGTGACTCTGGGTGCAACATTATCCTACACAGGATAAATCAGGCTCATTAGGGAAGATGTGTAATTTGAAAGTAAGCGTTTGGCACAAATCTGGCCAAATTTCACCCCTGCATACACCCCGAACTTGCTTCTGTTTGTAGAGAAGAGACCTTGCAGCCTGGATGGAGACATCTCAAACACACACACACACACACACACACACACACACACACACACACACACACACACACACACACACACACACACACACACACACACACACACACACTGAGGCAGATTAACAGCAATAAGAGCAATGAAACAAGATTCAAGAGAAAATCTGCACTTCTGCACACCTCCGCAGATCGGCTGAAATAGAAGGAAAATTATACTGAAGGTGGGAGTATAAGAGGGAGGGGGTGTGTGGTGTGACAAGAACACTGGTCTACAGACATTATAATAAGAGAATGAAGTTAAAGCTCCAATTGATAGGTATAGGTCTATCGATTAGTTGATCGACAGAAGATTCATTTTCACTTGAGTCAGTTTTCTGACGCAGAAGATTTGATGCTTTCAAGATGTTCAAGTATGTCAAGTTTTTTCTGTTTTTTTCCCCCAGCTTTTCATTGGAGTAAGTTTGATCATTTGAGGGTTTAGACAGTTGCTCCAAGAAAAATAGACAATTTGTTCATGTCTCCTGCAGAAATCAGATGGACATGTTTCTCTTAAAATAAACCACACTCTACGAGTTAGTAAGAATGCAAAGATAAAGGAACTGGTCTGACATCAGTAAAGTGAAAGCTTTTAAATATTGCAACTATCAACTACTCGGTAACATCAGTGCACAGCCTTCTCGTGGCTGCACAACACAGGAAGCTTCCTAACTGCTGGTTTGCTGACACACAGTCAGTGTCTTCCAGATCGAGCGACCCCAACAGGCGGCCACACATCTCAGAAAGCTTGAGGGGTTTTATGGGAGGTTCACCATGAAACCAGTTACACCACACTGAGAAGTCAAATCACCTGCACATGAAGTGGTCTACCTGGCAGCTAAGACCCCCTGCCTTCATATGTCTGCTGCCTCGGGATGTGTGTGACTCACTAGGGTGCCAAAGTGGTATACAGCAGGTGATCCCTCAAATCATCTCCTGTAGTGGTTCTATTTTTGGATAGAACAAAACCTTGCACATTTCCTGCTCAGTATTGCGCATGATTGGGCACCTTTGGTGTTGCTGGGCTGCCCAATCAACACCTAATTGTGGTAATTCAATTACGTCTGGCAACGTCCTGCCACTAAGCAGCTTGGTCAACATTGCAGGGTCAGGTGCAGACCGAATCTATTCGTGCGTAACGCTTCCACACACGATCCAAGAGGGGATGCAAACGCATGATGTTCGGTTCAAATATGATAAGATGAACACATGACATCAGGAGGTTATTTTGTCCAGAGTGTTAAAATAATCAATTGCGCAATGTGGCCACATTATCCTTGGAAACATATGCGTGGGGCTTTCCTCCACTCCATGCGCACACACACGCAAATATCACTGCTAAATCTCCAATCCACAAGGTGAAAGGCACCCATTGGAAACTCGTTATGTGTGTCCACTTCAATGAAGGAGGTTGCAGTGTCTGTGGGATAGTCTAGCCTTTTTGATCGCCCTCCTGTACTAGACAAAAACATCCCCCTCAATCAAAGAATTCAAAAAAAAATCTACACCTACCTGGTAATTTCGAAGCTGCAGCCTTTCCGAAGGAGCAAAGCTCTCTTCCGCATGATGCCTTTGTCTCTGCCGAGGTACACATTTTTATCCGAATTCATGGGTGCTGGGCGAGCAGGTAGACTCAGGGGAACAGTGGCGCTTTCTTCCCGAGGAAACAAAAAGTCCCAAAAATCGAGCAGTGGACCGTGGGAGGCGGAGGGAGAAAGGGAACAGCCTGACCGAAAAAAAAAGAAGAAATGATTTTTGTTTTGTTTTAAATCCTTGGTCCACCAGAAGGAAAAGTGATCCTGCAGACTTTTTTTCTCTCCCCGCAGGCTAGACAAAAGACGGCGTATTGAAGCTGTCAGAAATGCATGGTGTCGAGGTTGGAGGTGTCTCCATGCGGGATAATGTCGGGGCAGGCTGCTGCAGTTGTCAACCTGAGCGAACCGTGCAGAGAAGAGACTCTCCGCGGCTGTGATCCTCAACTGTGGCGGAGTCCACAGCGCTGCTTCGGCTACATCCCCGGCTCTGAGAGGTAGTGACTTCACACACACACACACACACACACACACACACACACACACACACACACACACACACACACACACACACACACACACACACACTCACTTACCGTAAATAGTCTCTCTCTCTCTCTTTCTGTGTGTGTGTGTGTGTGTGTGTCAATTTAATTTAATTTATGCGTGAGAGAGAAGAGAGAGTAACAGACTGAGAGCAGAATAACATGAATGTCAGATATAAAACTTACAGCATTAGGCTATGCAGTGATGCTAAAAGTGTAATTTATCATAAATTATTATTAATATTTAATGATGTTACTTTACCCACTTTTTTTGAAGGGGGGGGTGAAGATCCTCTTTTGTGTCACAGTTTCTTACTTATATCAAAACAAATAAGCGTTTCCTGCTCACTGCAATCTTGATGAGTGCTTCATATCTTCAGTTTTTATTTGGCCTTGAATTGTGTTTTGTTGACTCAATAATGATCTATTCTATAAACATTGCACAAAATGTAAGGAAATTTGTGTTTGGTAGATTCTTTTTTTTGTTGTAACAATGCTTCTTGCCAAGAAATGTCATTTTGGAAAGCCTGTTTATTTCCCCTTTGAATGGTGCCACATTTGTAAGGAACATGCATTGTGGGATGAGCAGCAGAGCTGAGTAGGTGGGTTGTGCCCATGTAAACTAGCCAAATCTTCTCTGCCAATGCCAAACAGCTTATTCTGCTGTTGACTCTTGTTTGGTGTTGTTTCGTGGATTGGATGATTTTAGTCTTAAGAAACAAGACATATTGGCAATTTAACATTTTATTAATTTAACAAACAGGAGCCTCAGTAGCGTGTGGAAGAACCATACACAGCCACAACAGGTCACCAGCCTGGCCACGCACTGCTGTGGGATGGCATCCCATTCTTCAACCAGCATTTGCGCAGGTCAGCCAATATTGTTGTGCTGGTCACTCTGGCATGAACAGCATGCCCAAGCTGTTCCCATAAGTGTTCAATGGGGCTGAGGACAGGACTGCAGGCAGGTCATTCCATCCTCTCCATTCCCAAATTCTGGAGGTAGTCTCTGATGAACCCCGCTCTGTGGGGGTGATCATCTTGGAGGATAGAGTTTGATCCCAGACTGTGGAGATATGGGATTGCTACTGGATGCAGAATCTCATCTCTATATCTGTCTGCATTGAGATTGCGTCCAATGATGACAAGCCTAGTTTTTCCAGTGAGCTGTTTGGCATTGGCAGACAAGATTTGGAAAGTTTTTCATGGGCGCAATCCACATACTCAACTCTGCTGCTTATCCCAAAAATGCATGTTCCTTACAAATGTGGCACCATTTAAAAGGGAAATAAAGAGGCTTTCCAATGGATTAAGATCTATAAGCATTGTTACAACAAATAAATAATCTACCAAACACAAATTTCCTTACTTTTTGTGTGATGTTTATTAATATAAGATATAAAAAAAATAAAGTTTTTACTACCTGAGAATATATTGCATGAAAGGTTTACATTTGGTACCAACTAGATTCGTCTTAATCAGATGGTTAAAGTCTCCCATATTACATTCTTGCACGACTATTGCTGTTAATAATCTCTTACTGACCCTCATTTGGCCAAGGACCTGGAATAACGATTATTTGTGGATGCAGGCCCACTTTTCTTTTAAATATCCAGATCTCACAGTCCCACAGTGAGTATTACAGGCAGTTCACTCAACTAAAGTACAGTTAGTATTGCAACAAGATTAAAAAAAAAAAAGAAGCTCAAAGTTTGTTTCCTGAACAAGAGAAGAGACCTTCAAATATAATTTACTCAGCTAAGAAAGCTTCAGCTGCAGGTGCACCCAGTTGTAGGTGCAGGATTAATTCGTTGACTCCAAAAATATTAAGGTGTGGGTTGTGGTTGCATCCTGTTCCTCATTAGGGTGGGAGAGTAGAGGTGATTCATAGAGCACACAGTGTGAGACTGGGAAGTGTGGGCCAGTTCATATGAGGTCAAATCAGTCTGCACACTGAGAGATCTTGCCAAATTTATTCCCTGCTTGCCTCAGGTCTCCAGATGCAATTGTGTGGGTTTTTTTTGTCAAAGGTTGTAATTTTTAACACTGTTGAACACCTTGATAACAGACCTGTATGAAATAAAAGTACAACACTTCTGTGAATCGACATCTGGTAAAAAAAAAAAAACACACACATGCATTATGCATATGCACAGTTGGTGGCAGCCTCACACCAATTGAAGCATGCATAAGGCCAATGACTTACCCGTCTAAAGAAAGTGTTTCCCTTAGCATCAGTCCATGTTTGAACTATTCTAACAAATTGTAAAACAATCATCAAGAAGGACACATACTATATTCCTCTTTCAAAAAAGACGCGACGCCTTCAACATAAAAAGTATTCTTTAGAGATTTGTTTTATGGATATTATGTAGTGGCAGTCTGACAGCAACTTTATTTTTTAAATTGTTGCTCAAACCTTCTGACTCACTGTGATTCAAAACATACTTTGATTTCTCTCAGAGCATTATCTTCTCTCAGAGCATTATCAGTCCATGAAGAACCAACTTTCAGAAAAAACCTTGAAGAATCTTGATTATCTGCTTAAAGCAACAAAATAGCTTGTAATTTGGCACTGAGCAGATATTCACATAGGAGTTGGTGGAGACCAAAAAAGAGCTTATGAATGTTGAATCTAAGGCCGTGACACATGAGGCTTACAGTTAGCTTATTAGTTAATATCGAGCTGGAGCTAAGTGTTCTTGGTCCTTGTCCCTTTTGTGTTTCCTACACCTTTGGCCCAAGTTTTCAGCTTCTATGGTGTTTATAGGTTGAAAAGAGGCAGAACAAGCCAGTAAACAACTTTTCTGCCCTTCTCCACAAGCAAATCAAGAACGGCTGACAGAGCCGGAGCAATATGCATCCTTTTATCAGACACATTCTTGATTAGAAGCAGCTGCATCACAAAGCTTTCTTAGTGGTGAGCCAGAGATGACCAAAAATGTAAGGAAGCTCCGTTGTTTTGGTCCAGACACAGGGAACATGAGGCGACACAGCAATTGCCCTTTTTTGCCACTAGCTCTTTAATGACAAGTTGGTGTGTCTCGGGCTTTACCTTCTTTAGTTGGCTAGCAACCTGTGTGCAAATGAATGCTGAAGTTGATGTATACCTGCTGGACTTGTAAGTAAAATAATGGTTGCTAACCAAGCAAGCAAACCTTTCTGCATTAAATGGACCAAAAAAACAAGTCATTGCTTGAATTTAACTTCTATTATTCACTTTTCTTTTCAAAAAATGATTAATGTGATTGTTTCTCTTTAAAAAACTGGACTTAAAGCTCCTATGAGGAGTTTTTTAGCCAGCTATAAAAACAGACTGAAATAGTTACTGATGTCTCTTTACAAAAAGAGACATCAAATGTCTCCTACAAAAGCAAACAAGACTATAAACGACACAACTGACAGTTTCTATTTATGCAGCACGATGCAAAAACAGCCTGTGTTTAGATTTCTCACAGCAAAGATTCACGATAAGTGATGTTGGACTTTTATAAGGCAGCAGGCGGAAATTTTTTTGCTTACTGCTTGCAAGGGGCGGCAAAAAATAACCCAAACTGAAAGTTCCTTACAGGAGCTTTAATCTTAAAAAAGAAATGTGGATATGCAACAGGCTGCAGTCTCTTCCACAATCATCCTCACCCTAAAGCTCTAAAGCTTTCAGTCACTTCTTTTTAAATAATTACCCATGAGAAAAGGAAAGACAAAGCAGCAGGTTAGCTCACTGGTTTGTATAGCAATCAGTAAATAATTGCATTCTTCATGCTAGGTTGCTGGTTGTATTTTTCGCCCTTTCGCTCTGATAGAAGGGAAAATAAGCTCCATTACTCCCACATATGTACCAAGTTACACACAGACTCCCTCTCTCTCCATCTAGTATGTCCACCCTCTGTTTAGTTGAAGGCATTCTCTCAATATGACTCACAGCTGCATTGAGAGAGAGACCCGGCCATGTTTGTGTGATTGGAAAGACTTCAGCTTTGTTGCTCAAACCTTCTGACTCACTGTGGTTCAACAGAACTGCCTCTTACCACATCTCAGGGTGGTTAGAGACGACTTTATGTCGCTGCCTTTTTCTTTAACACCCCTTATCAATTTGATCTTGTAGCAGCCATGTTGACATCAGAGTGAAGGGCAACCAACATGGGCTGACTAACTTGTTGGGGTTTCACTTGTGGCGGTATTATTGCAGAGGGGCCTTTAGAGACATAGCATTTACTGTAATGGAGACTTTAAAAGAAAGACTGCTAGCCACTGAACAGTGAAGTCATGGTTCAGGCCTTAGCTTAAAGAATGTGTTCTACAAATGAGTGCCTTAAGTTTCATTTTCAAATGTTCTTCTGCCTGGCGCGTGATGGGTTACCAGGTTATGCAATATTTGTTGAGTTTTATTCTTTAGTTTAGTTTAGTATAGTTTATTTGCACATTTTTTGGAAAGAAGAATCAAACAGAAAATTAAAAAAGATATAAAATAAAACACATGTGCAGGTGAGGTAGAAACCCAAAGTAAGAATGTTTACTATCACAAATAAAATTTACCCAATTGAAAATGATATACAAACATTGAAAACATAAAAATAGAGCAAAACAGGACACACAGTATGTAGACAATATAACAAAATCAGGACAATTCACTATTCACTACAAATCTTTCTGACATCAACGCATTTCTGAGTCTCAATTTGTATCTAGAAAAAGACAAAAACTCATCAAGTAAATAAATATGCGTGTTCCATAATTTGACTCCATGATATCTTATTGAGTACTGTCCTCGAGATGTACGACACATTGGTAGGTATAGGTTATTGGTTTGTCTAGTTGAGTAATAGTTCACTTGAGAATTAAGAATGAAAAATGCTTTAAAGCTTTCTGGCAAGTTTGCACTCATGTATTTAACTTTAAAAATAAAGCTACTTATTTGAAGAATATTGATATCAAAGATTGTCAATATGTTACACTTC